AAAATATGCCGTTTTAACATGCTAAATATGCCCGGTTTGGTTTCACTTGGTAAATATATCATCCTCCATAACATTTTTTTCTTTCATTATTGTTTTACCATCTCTGTTTCTTTCCTCAATTATCGTTTATTACTTCACCCAAGTGAACATTACTAAACCCTAAACCGTATATTTAAACCCTGAACCTAAACCCTAAACCCTAAATCTAAACACTAAACCCTAAACCCTAACCCTAAACCCTAAACTTAAACCCTAAACCCTAAATCTAAACCCTAAACCCTAAACCTAAACCCTAAACCCTAAACCCTATTGTCTCGATCTTGAATTTACATCTTGAAGTATTAACCGTGAATCCATTAACCGCAATCTTTATATAGTAAAACAATGTATTTTAAAGAGGTTTAGTACCTAAGCTTAGGTGGGGCTGTAATGTATATTCCTTTTCCTTTTATATAATATATATATATATATATATATATATATATATATAATATATATATATATATATATATACTACCTTATAAAAGAAATCTTACTATTTCTATAAATAGACTCAATATAATAATAATATTATTTTAAAACGTTCAAGTCATTAAGCTTAAAGTACAATCAACTATTAATATAATAATATTATAATATATATCTTACAAATGATAATGCTAGGGATACAAGTATTAAAAACACATTTAAATTAGTATTTTCTTATTTTTAGAGATTAAATTAGTATTTTCATCAATTTTGACCCAACTTGTACCCCTAAAATATCTCTTCTCTAGTATCTGGTGCATTCGAAATCTGAGAATACTTCTTTTCGACAAATCGTTTGAAATTTAAAAGTCATTCAAATTGGAGTTCCCTAATTTTTTGCATAAAATATAGTTGACTGGAGACTAATTCAAATCTTCATCTCCTTTTCCTCCATGGAATCCACCACCACAATATTTTTTGGTTTTGGCATTGCACTTTATATTTTTGTGAAACCGATTGATAATGGTGAAAATGTTCTTAGAAATATAATATGTCTCCGAATGAAACTAATTGCTTGAAAGAAAGTATTCATTGCCGCCGCTTTGCACGGGCAAATGACTAGTGTGTGTGTGTGTGTGTGTGTGTGTATATATATATATATACTATCTTATAAAGGAAATCCAATTATTTCTAAAAATAGATTGAATATAATAATATCATTTTTTAAGACGTTCAAACCATTAAGCTAACAATACAAGTAAATAATAATAAAATAATATTAAAAATTCTAACCCACGTTTTCAATCCTTATATTTATCAGCAAATATGATCCTTATCCCTCAATTTCAGGTCATTCAAAATTTGAAACATTATTTATCCAAATACTCTCCCTATATGGCTATATCTCCCCTTATCTTCTCTTGCCAAACCACGAAGATACTCAAGGGTTACTTCACCTTCTTCTTTTCTCTTGCGTAAGATCAAATTGGAAGTACATTGACTTGTGTACAACAAATAATCAAATCAATTTCTACCTAAAGGTAAGATCATAGTTCCTAAACCTGTTTCCATGTAAACATAGTTATTCCATTGCATCGCCCATAAATGGCATAGAGATCGATTTAATAAGTTGTTATGTTGTTATTGCTTTTAGATTTAAATTGTTAATTAAGATTTGTATTGTGATTCTAACATCATCTGATTTCAGGTATCGATTACTCTTCTTCTTCTTATTATTTTTTTTATCAATTTCTCCTATTAATAGTTTCGATCATTTTTTTCATGTGTTCGATTTCAGGTGCTAGATTGACGGATCTTGCTATGTACACTTCGGGGTTGAGGGTACCTTAATGTTGGAATGAAATTTTCTTTTTGATCTCTACAAAGCTTTAAGAAGCAAAACGGTTCTACTTTTTTTACTTGTAAAGGGTAAGAATCGATCTTTCTATAGAATCCTTATGTAAATGACATCATTACCTAATAGGAAGCTTCCTCTAGGATCTCGCCAAATATCCTTTTTATATCCCTTTTTCAGATCTATCATTCTCCGACTTTCTCTCGATCTTCTTTTTCATATTAATGGAGAGAAGTTTGATATGCAAGCAACAATGGAATGACCCCCCTTCTCTCTCTCTCTCTCTCTCTCTCTCTCTCTCTCCATAATATTTTTTTGTTTGTTTCTAAGGTTCGTATTTATGATTTTTGTGGGAGAAAAGAGTCATTTGTGACTTTTTATATGTTTTTCTGTCGGATGTGTGGGTATTGACGATTTTTCATTGCAGAAAAGGAACCATTGGCTTTGTTCGATGTTGGTCTCCAGTTTTGTTGTTCTTTTTCTAATATGTCATCAGTACTTTTTTTAAAATATTTTGTGTACGTTGAGTCTTGATTTATTACTTTTGAAATAGATCAAAATCTATATGATTGAAGCCACGTGCTCTTCCTTAGCTCCGTATAAGCAAGGCCTAACCTATGCATTATGTGTGGTATTACGGTAGGTGTAGCAGTTTTTGAATTTATGAGTGATATATTTATTGTTTGCTAAACATCTAGCAAATAAGCATGATGATAAAGCAGGCAAAATAAATTTAGAGAATCGTTATTCATTTTACTTTACTAATGAAACTACATTTTTGGAGTAGGTGATTTTTATGGTTTGCAATCTAAAGCAACAAGTTCACATCAATGAGATACAATTTGCCTATTGTGTGCAAGACCAAAGGTAAAAGGGAGTTATTTTCAAATTTATGGTCAAACATGCTTCGATGTAAGTTAAAACCCATTTCAAGACTTCTAAGAAAGTTCAAATAAAGCAAGCTACATAATTGGGTCATGAAGAAGATTAAATAAGATTATGGTATTGAGGTATAAGACTTAAGAAAAAACATGAAACAAAACATTGATAGTTGAGTACTTTTAAAATTTTGAAGCAATTCCATTTAAGTCAGCACCAATTTTATAGTTCCATAATGTTTAAATTTAGATGTTTTTTGGATCTTCTGCTTAACCAATGATTCACATGTTCCCTATGTATAAATAGTGATTGGCAGACCAGATATTACTACTGTGTACATAAAAAATGACTAGAAGTTGTAAACATGTATACCAAGTTTGGATTAGCTATAAATACTTTTGTCAGCTTATATTGCATCTTTCTTGAGGGCTAAGTCATGGAGCTAATGAAATAATCAAACCAATTTCTCCCTAAAGGTAAGGTCACAGTTTCTAAACCTGTTTCCATGTAAACATAGTTATTCCATTGCATCGCCCATAAATGGAATAGAGATCGATTTAATAAGCTGTTATGTTGTTATTGCTATTAGATTTAAATTGTTAATTAAGATTTGTATTTTGATTCTAACATCATCTGATTTCAGGTATCGATTACTCTTCTTATAATTGTTTTTTTAATCAGTTTCTCCTTTTAATAGTTTCGATAATTTTTTCATGTGTTCGATTTTAGGTGCTAGATTGACGGATCTTGCTATGTACACTTCGGGGTTGAAGGTACCTTAATGTTGGAATGAAATTTTCTTTTCGATCTCTTCAAAGCTTTAAGAAGCAAACCGGTTCTACATTTTTTACTTGTAAAGGGTAAGAATCGATCTTTCTATAGAATCCTTATGTAAATGACATCATTACCTAACATGAAGCTTCCTCTAGGATCTCACCAAATATCCTTTAACAGGAAGCTTCCTCTAGGATTTCGCCAAATATCCTTTTTATATCCCTTTTTCAGATCTATCCATCTCCGACTTTCTCTCGATCTTTTTTTTTCATATTGATGGAGAGAAGTTTGATATGCAAGCAACAATGGAATGACCCCCCCCTTTCTCTCTCTCTCTCTCTCTCCATAATATTTTTTTGTTTGTTTCTAAGGTTCGTATTTATGATTTTTGTTGGAGAAAAGAGTCATTTGTGACTTTTTATATGTTTTTCTATCGGATGTGTGGGTATTGATGATTTTTCATTGCAGAAAAGGAACCATTGGCTTTGTTCGATCCTGGTCTCCAGTTTTGTTGTTCTTTTTCTAATATGTCATCAGTAGTTTTTTTTTATAAATATTTTGTGTACGTTAAGTCTTGATTTATTACTTTTGAAATAGATCAAAATCTATATGATTGAAGCCACGTGCTCTTCCTTCACTCCGTATAAGCAAGGCCTAACCTATGCATTATGTGTGGTATTACGGTAGGTGTAGTAGTTTTTGAATTTATGAGTGATAAATTTCTTGTTTGCTAAACATCTAGCAAATAAACATGATGATAAAGCAGGCAAAATAAATTTAGAGAATCGTTATTCATTTTAGTTTACTAATGATAAAGCAACAATGGAATGACCCCCCCTTTTCTCTCTCTCTCCCCATAATATTTTTTTTGTTTGTTTCTAAGGTTCGTATTTATGATTTTTGTTGGAGAAAAGAGTCATCTGTGACTTTTTATATGTTTTTCTGTCGGATGTGTGGGTATTGACGATTTTTCATTGCAGAAAAGGAACCATTGGCTTTGTTCGATGTTAGTCTCCAGTTTTGTTGTTCTTTTTCTAATATGTCATCAGTAGTTTTTTTTTTTTTTTTTATAAATATTTTGTGTACGTTGAGTGTTGATTTATTACTTTTGAAATAGATCAAAATCTATATGATTGAAGCCACGTTCTCTTCCTTAGCTCCGTATAAGCAAGGCCTAACCTATGTATTATGTGTGGTATTACGGTAGGTGTAACAGTGAGTGATATATTTCTTGTTTGCTAAACATCTAGCAAATAAACAAGATGATAACGCAGGCAAAATAAATTTAGAGAATCATTATTCATTTTACTTTACTAATGAAACTACATTTTTGGAGTAGGTGATTTTTATGGTTTGCAATCTAAAGCAACATGTTCACATCAGTGAGATACAGTTTGCCTATTGTGTGCAATATCAAAGGTAAAAGGGAGTTATTTTCAAATTTATGGTCAAACATGCTACGATTTAAGTTAAAACCCATTTCAAGACTTCTAAGAAAGTTCAAATAAAGCAAGCTACAGAATTGGGTCATGAAGAAGATTAAATAAGATTATGGTATTGAGGTATGAGACTTAAGAAAAAACATGAAACAAAACATTGATAGTTGAGTACTTTTAAAATTTTGAAGCAATTCCATTTAAGTTAGCACCAATTGTATAGTTCCATAATGTTTAAATTTAGATTGTTTTTGGATCTTCTGCTTAACCAATGATTCACATGTTCCCCATGTATAAATAGTGATTAGCAGACCAAATATTACTACTGCGCACATAAAAAATGACTAGAAGTTGTAAACATGTATACCAAGTTTGGATTAGCTATAAATACTTTTGTCAGCTTATATTGCATATTTCTTGAGGCTAAGTCATGGAGCTAACGAAATAAGTTTGGATTAGGACTGAAGAAAAACACAACAATATTGCAGGAATTCGTGAAGGAGGTTCAAGCAAGTTTAGGTAATTCCTAAATTGATGTTATCTAAATAATACAGATTTAGAGATATAAATAGAATTAGCAATGTATTTTCATTGGATTTTTCTAATATAGCATATTTTCTCAACTGTATTAATTAATTTCTTTTTAATTAAATTTTTTCTAATTTAAGTAGTGCGATTTAAAGCTATGATGCTAAAATGCAATTAATAGCAAGTGTGTTAATGTGTTTCTATTATTTGAAAAAATTAAAAATGTTTATAATAGAGAAAGTGGCAGGTAATAGCAATATCATTTGTAAGATTTAATGTTTATGTTTCCCCTTTGGCCTTTGGCTATGCAGGGTACTTACCCTTAATCAATTTTTTTGCTTATCATTTGACAAGTGGCTTAATGGAGGTGTCATCATACTCAATCAGGATATGGAGGATATGGATTTGGGTGCTTTTGAATTCGAAGGGTATTATCTTCAAAAGAGTTGAAGGTGGAGAGAATGCCAGAAAAAAGTTTTCATGATCTTAAATTAATGGATATGGACGGAAAAATAGTTTGGATATATGTATTTTAATGCATTTAAGTTCCCAGTGTATTTTCATCAAAACAGTTGAATATTAAGAAAAAGTTGGAATTTTTTTTCTTATCTTTGATTTCTTCATGCAGTTGGTTAATATTAAACTGTGTCATGTATTTTTTCTCTATCATACATATGGTAAAATTTCATTTTAGTTTTTTAGAAATAACTTAAAAGATCTAAAGCTTTAATATAAATAAAATCAAATTAAAGTTTTAATGAACTAACCTACTTCTAAGTTATTTTATTATTTAAAAACATCATCATCGTCAAGACACGTATTTAAAATAAATTAAAATCAGAAATGGTTCTTCATTTTATTTTAATTATATGAAACCATAAATAATCATACATTTTAAAACTGATTATTAGGAACTTTAGTCTAAAACCATAAATGTCCACCAAAACTGATTATTAGGAACTTCACTCTATGGAGTGTTTGGTGTGTTTAGTTGATTATAAAAGTCAATCTATCAGCACGACCAAAAGCATTTAAATATCAATATTTTTAACATAGATGACCATTGAAGAATTTAGGTTGTACGTTAAGAATGAATCAAGTGCCTAATAAGTTATGATTGTGCATATTATATGCAGGAATTTGAAAGTAATTCATGTTCAAAATTGAAATATGGACTCAAAGATGAGTGATAGGAAAAAGGGAATTAACATTTTGATGAGAGTCTAAAAGTAGATTTGGATATTTTGTTGGTTAATCTAGATGGACCCGTAATTATACTTATCAATTTTAACGTGGGAGATGTGACAAAGACCAATTCAACGAGCTAGGATGTAATATTTTAAAAATTCATTTATTATTTTAATTTACATGTATTAGTCTTTGAAATTGAAAATTTTAAATCATAAAGGAAACTATTTGAGGAAAAGACATAGAAATGTGTACATGTGTGTTCAACAAAACAACATTCTTTTGAACAAATGTGTTTTCAACGAAAATTTTAAATCATACATTTTAATGCTATTTATTTTTGTTTCTTGAAATAAAATATGTTTCCGAATAGAATTAATCTTCGAAGGAAATCATTGTTGAATGAAGCTATTCGCAGCCGCTGCTTTGCGCGGACATACGGTTAGTATATATATATATATATATATATATATATATATATATATATATATATATATATATATATATATATATATATATATATCATCTTATAAAGGGTTTATAAATGTGAGCCATTTACATTTAAAGACAATTGTCTTAAAATTCAAGGAAAGGAAATCTGGACCATCAAATCTATATTGCACGGTGAGGATTTAACTATTGGTGATCCATGTGAAATGCTCTCAACCAATGAGAATGGAGAGTTTAGTCTATACAACTTTTTTACCAGCCCTACCCTTACCATAACACTATCCAAGCGGGTAATTCAAAAGTTTTTGAAATCGGGTGGAACCCAAAAAGGCATGTCTCTCTGTCTCTCTCTCTACTCAAGAATGGAGAAACCCTAAATTCTCCTGTAAAAGATGTTTCCCCTCTTTCATCGTCCTCTAGATCTCGAGATAGATGAGAAAGGCATCCCTCGATCTCCATCCTCCAGGTCTTTCTCCTCCATATGCTCTCCAACTCGATCTTTTATCTTTAGTTAATCTTTCGATGTTGATTTTTTGTTGCAACAACAAATGACTTAAATAAGGAGGTGATTTTATAAGTAAAGGTTTTGATTTAATATCTTTTTGTACATGCTGTGGTTCTCAAGCTTTGTTTCGATCTAATGATTTTATCATTTAGTGTCATAAGTTTTGTTCAATCTTCTTTAGTTTTTCTTTTAATAAAAGTTTACGCCTTCTATAGTATAACCTATGAAGTCCTTGCCAAATCTTCTTGATTACCTCTCCACCATCTCAATTCATCTTACCATTGTTTACTATCGCCATATCTCCTTAACAACCAACAACCTCTAACACATGCCCCTGTTCTCTCATAATTTGACCCTGATTTCTGTTTTTGAATCTCTAACCGTAGGTACTAATTTTGACCTAGATTTATATGATGTTTAGGGTTTAAATAGCGAAAAATCTCACCATTTACCTTGGTTTCATTCAGAATATGTAGTGACCTCAAATATCTAACCCGAGATATCATTTTTCACCTAGATTTCTATGGTTTCACATCAACTGGTTTTGTGGGTCGTACATGGTCGAAAACCTCATTGTTTTACCATAATTTCGTTCATTATCTTGTGTGGCTTTGAATATCTAACCACAGGTGTCACTTCTGACCTAATTTTCTATGGTTCTCGGTCATTTGTAGAAGGTAATTTAAGAACTTTAGGGTGTGTTTAGTTGCGGAAAAATGGGCCGTTTTGGGGAAAAAATTTTCAAGAAAAATGAGAATTTTGAAAACGTGTTTAGTTCGCCTATTTTTCTAAATTTTTCACGGAAAATGAAAATTTTTCGTTTTCTAAAATTACAAAGAAATTGGAAATTTTTGGAAAATTGATAATCATTGTTTTCCAGATTTTTCTAATTACAAATTTTTTCTAATATATAAACACACACCCACTCCACTCCATCCACCTCTACCTACCCCCACCTTAACACCCTCCACCCACACACACATACATACCCACCCCCACAAACACTCACCCGCGCGCGCGCACACACACACACATACATACCCACTCACCTACACATCCACCCACAAACATACACACACATACACATACATACCCACCAACACACACACATCCACCCACAAACACACACACATACACATACATACCCACCCACACACACAACCACCCACAAACATACACACATACATACATACCCACCAATGCACCCACACACATACAAACACACTCACACACATACCCACCCACACCCCCACAAACACACACCCACACACACACACAAACCCACACCTACGCCCACCCTCACAGACACACACACCCCCCCCACACACACCAACCTACACCTATCCCCACAAACACACACATACACACAGAAACACACACTCGCACCCCCACCAACCCATCAACACCATGACAATCACTGACCTACCATCACCATTACCACCACCACCACCACTAACCTGTCACTAGCACCACGACCACCGCTACCGCCGCCATCATCACCACTGATACAATTGCCGCCGCCACCACCATCGCCTGTCATCACCACCACCGCTGCCGACTCGCTACCGTCACCGCCCCCACCCACACCATACCACCGATACTGTTTTTTAAAAATGAAAACCGATAGAAAAATACACATCTAAACACGTTTTCTAATTTTCTAAAACTAAAAATGAAAAATGAATAAGTTTAACTAAATACGTTTTCTAAATTTTTCAATGAAAAATGAAAACGGAAAACGAAAATTGAAAAGGGAAAACAAAAAACGGAAAATGAAAATTATTTTTCCGTAAATAAACGCAACCATAGTTTCTTTCTATTTTGTCTATTTTTTCTGTTTTACGCATTCCTTTTGTTTGTGTCATTCTTCTTATTTTGGTAAATCACTTATGTAGCAACAGAAAAAACTAACCATGGTCGATATTAAGATGAGTCTTGAAGAAATATGCATAATTTTGCCAAAATCAGTGATATTAGTAATGCACTGCATGTATTTTATCCCACAAGAAGTGCTTAAAGAAACCTTTTTAAACTGCTGCTAGCTTATTGGTTCTCACTTTTAATTTTCAGCTATTAATGGATTTTATTTTTTGTTTTTTCAAGGTCGGTGTAATTTAGAGAGTTGGCTGTACATGGGATCTTCCACTTAAAACTCATTTTATAACCTTTGTTCCAATCTAAATCTAGTTAATTGCCTTTAATTTCATCCACAATTACCATGAACATTTTAAAAAAAATTACAATTATAGTCCATATGAGGTAGTAAATTGTGCCAACATTTTGGTTCCCTATTACTACTATTTGCTTAAGACTCATGATGTTCCTCTGTTTATGTTGTTGAAAAGGGGAAACCACTTCCTGGCAGGTGGTTTTGGCATAATTGAAAGAAATTTGAGTAACTTGCTATTTCTTGCTAACAAATGGAAATAAGTTGCTATTTTTTTTGGTTTTTTAATTTTGGCTAAATAAAAGAAATAATATCTCTCTTTTTAGTCTGTGTATTATGTAATCATACTTTCATTTCTTTTTGTTACAACATTATACTTTGAAAAGTACAATGCTATAATAGAAAGAAATAAAAGTAGGAAGCTATAATCTACTATTAATTGAAAGTATGTTGTTTTTTGAATTTAAGTTGGATGAATGGAAGAACTAGTAACTAACTCCTTAACTTTATTTATGTACATTGTTTCAGTTATAGAAGTGGATCCGTTTGTTTGTTGTGTGATAGGGTTTGATGTAATGCATAAGTAACTGAAATGAATATTTTTATGAAGAATTTTTTGCAGGTGCAGCAAAGGAATTAATGGATTGCGTTAATATGCAATCTTCTGATGAAGAGTTTTGATTGACAACCGGGTTATTTATTGAGTAACACGGGTTACCTCTTTATTGTCATGATAAAAAATTATATGTTAGATGGTGATCTCTTGTGAGGCATATATCAAGAAAAATGTGGATTTGTTTCATTATTTGTAAGTTTAGTCTAATGATGATTTAATTGGATTCATAAATTGGCAATAGTTACTCAAAAAAGTACATCTTAATGTCACGCGACTTATTTTTGTGCCTAATATTATGACTTGAATTTTAATGTTCTTCAATTTTCCAAAAATGGTTTATCATACGATTTTCATTTTTCTTATTTTTTCCTAAGGAAATGATCAAATAATCATCATAGTAGAACCATTTCTTCGTAAAATCGAATAATTTGTAGTAAATTTAATGGTTAAATAAAATAGTTAAAAACCCAATGATAAGTTTGTTTATTGGTTTATTTAAAATAAAAGAAAAGGTTTAGAATGGCTATGAAATTGGTTTATGATATGCATTTTTTTTGGTACGAGGAGTTTAGAATACCATAAGGTTTAAATTTGGCTTTAGAAATGCATGGGTTTAAAAAGTAGAAAGGATATGGGATTAGATTTTGCCACTAATAGACCTTTTTTGGAGTAAAAACCTCAAAATTTAGTTAAAAATATCTATTTCTAGATATAGATATAGATATGCTTTCCGCAGAGGTGTCCTTTATAGGTTCTACGGACTCCAAAGAGCCTGCCACGGAATAGAAGTTTGGTAATTAAAATTGGGGTGGAAACACGTAAGTAGAGGTCCGCAACGCTCCCTCCACGGAATGAAATTTTTGCTATGTGGCCTCTGTGGACTGGTAGCTTCGGTCATTAAATACTCATTAACTCCACCGCGGAGCGGTAGTTTTGAGCCCTCCGCGGAATGCGTATATTAAGGATTTATATGACAGTTTTTGGGTCATATAAATAAATTTCCCTCTCTTTCTAAAAAACAATTTGAAATCTCAGTTTTAGGATGAAATTTGTTCTTAATTTTCAATCAAAATATGTTTCGTTATTTTATATACCGGAGGGTTTTGGTAGTTAATTAATAGGATTAACACATACATTAGAGCAAAGTTTAACAAATTAGGTTTTTCGTAATATGTAAGCATTCTAGCTAAAAACTTTACAAATTTTGTCTATTAATCAAAAATCATGTATAGTTTTTTGCGAGTTCATGATCTATCATCGCAAACATTTAATTCAATTTAAGCAACAAAATAACATAACTTCAATAAAATGAGAATATTGGTTTTTTGTAATATGTAAACTTGCTAAAAACATTACAATTTATTTATTTACTTTTACTTTTTTTTTTTTGGAATATAAAGTGATCTAAAATACAAGTTTACAACTATGTGCAAATATTGTTGATAATTATTTAAAACATAATGATATTAGGCCATATCTTGTATTGATTTTTGATGTATTTTTATTTTTATATGGCTCCCAATATTCAGCTCCTCCCTATCCATTTAACATCGATCTTATATGAGTGATGTGATGTTTTTTTATATATAACAAAAATATTAGAAAAGAAATTAATACATCTCATTTTATATATAAATTTTTTTATATAAATATATTGTTCAAAAGCTAAATATTATGTAATTTTAAATATGTTAAAGAAAATATATTTTGTCTTTAAATGCATATTAATTCAAGAAAAAACATCATAAATGGTCCCTGTGGTTTCACATAATCTGAAGTTTAATCCTCAAACGTCATAGATGGTCCCTGTGGTTTCAAAACTTTTGACGATTAGTCCATACTACTAACTCCGTTAAGTTTTGTTCGTTAACTGAAGGACATTTTCGTCATTTCACTACTACAAGGACCATTTATGATGTTTTCTCTCTTTTTCTTTAAATTAAATATTATTATTTAATATATATAAAATCTCTCTCTCTCTCTCTCTCTCTCTCTCTCTCTCTCTCTCTCTCCGATAGGCAAACAAAAGCACCTCCATTAGAGGTGGTGTTCTTGTGGTTTTCCGGTAACAGAGGAGCAGCAACCCCTCGTCCCTCCTTCTTCCTTTTTTCTGTCGAGCAAAGCAACAAAACACCCCCAAAATTCATTGTCCAGTTCAGCCCTTGTTCTTCCATTTTTTTCTATTCAATTTCAATCAAAGAAACCCCCTCCAGAGGTGGAGTTTTTCCGGCAGACAAGAGGGCAACAACCCCCTCACACCTTCTCTTCTTCTTTCGCCGACTCCATAGCAGCCAAACACCCACCCGTATTGTTGTTGTTGCCCTGCTTCCATCGTACAGTCTCTCCCTTCCCCTTCATATTTCTTTCCGAGACAGAAAGTGCATGAGCTACTTCAGTAGCCCTTGACGCTTTCGTTTCTTCCTCCCTCTAGGAACTAGTGAGGGCACCGGAGGTGCTCGTTCCTTACTCGAAAAAATCAAACACAGGACCAAAAATCTTTGATACCTACGTGTTTTTTTTCCTGATTTCATTCTCCTTCTCCTTTCTTTGAATTAGACAAGAAACGGAGGTGCTCCTGCCTTTACGATCGATTGCCACCACCCTTAATCGATTTCTGCTTCCGATTTGTCCTTCCCCAAATCGAACCAGCACCGGAGGCGTGTGTTTTTCTTTGATTGAAACTGAACAGAAGATCTCTTCAGATCTCAACTCTATGTCGCCTTCAACGAGAGTTTCAAATGGGTTTTTTCATTTGTGTAGTGTATATTTGTTTTTATCTTTTGTGAGATTTTGATTTGTAGGTAAGGAGAGAGATTTTATATATATTGCTTGCATTGTTGATTTGTGTAGTGTATATTTGTTTTTATCTTCTCTTCTATGTTGCGAGTATACCCCTTCAAGAGACTTACAAAATGTCTTGGTTAGGTTTTCTCATAACATAGAAGACATTTCAAAAACAGAGAACATCTTCCATGTTATTTGTGTTTATCTCATGAACTAGATGCTCAACAAAATCTTTAAGTGGATCAACATTTGCAATTCCATAATATGAAGAAGAAAACCATACACCATCCTGCATTTGTTGTCTTTAAATATCAGATTATCATGAAATTAAGTAATTCATATGTACAAGTAACCAAATTACACACCTCCATGAAGTTGCCCATTTGCAGTACACGTTACACATCAAGAATATGGATGAAAACTTTTATATTTTTCCTGCATTCATAACATAAATTAAAGCATTAATATCAATAATCAAAACAATAATAAACATGATACAAAAGTTGGGATAAATAAGAGTAAAAGAAGATACTAACTATGTATTGCTCAAGTGCATCCCACTGGCAATTTCCCTTTGAATATTGTGTTGCAAAAACCATGTCATGAGATCATGAACAACCTCAATGTTTGCTGATGTTAGAAGCAGACTCTGTTTTTTAAAATTATCCCTGGAATAAAATATCAATAATTATAATCCTACTTCCATCTAAAGATAGATAATTGAATCAAAAAAGGAAATGGTTTAATGGAATGATTATTTGATGTTCAACATTAGAGATCTAACATCCAAATGCAAGACATTATACAAGCACAAATCAACCAATTGAAAAACGTATGGAGACCACGAAAATAAATTACCTCTTGTTCATGTCGAATCTTGATAGTAAACGGTGGTGCTACAACGTTGTTAATCGTCCTCTTATATTCACCGGATTAAAAAGTCCACGAAAATTCCGTCACCAGACTTTTGAACTTATAAATCATCGACATCAACAAAGCCGCTATTGTCAATGCCAACGTAATTAAACTTCGGAATCACGTCTTCGAGACCGGAAGCTCAGAGGCGAAGGAGAATCGGGAGGTCCGGAGCGATTAGAGATCTGGATGATTTATTAGGGAACAAAACTTCGAGAGAGAAGAATAACACAACCACCGCGTTGTTCAATCTATCAATCATCAGAGAATCTTTAATGAAGGTGGTGGTTGTTAACAGAGGTAGGGTGGTTATTGGAGGGAGGTGGTCGGTGAAGATGGAGAATATTGGTGAAGAACATAATACATTGAGGGAGAGAGAGAGAGAGAGAGAGACAGAGAAATGGTTGTTGACAGAGGTAGGGTGGTTGTTGGAGGGAGGTGGTCGGCGAAGATGGAGAATATTGGTGAAGAACACGATACATTAAGGGATAGAGAGAGAGAGAGAGAGAGAGAGAGAAAGAGAGAGAGACGTGAGGAGTAATGAAAGAGGATAGTTTCTTCAATTAATTAATTTAATAATTATTGAATAATAATTGGTAATTCCTAATATACCCCTGAGATTACTTTTAAAAAATCAAAGATACCACTGAAATCGATGATAATTACAAAAATGCCGTCTTTCATCTAGGCTATTAAAATTTTTGATCCAACGCTCGACTTTTAGTTCTCAGGTTCTCGGAAAACTTTGAGTTCTCAAATGATCATTCCTCTCTCTCTCTCTTTCTCTTTCTCTCTCTCTCTCTCTATATATATATATATATATATATATATATATATATATATATATATAGGATCATTTGAGAACCTATTGACACACCCCAAAACCGGAACGACAGAAATGTTCGGGGGTGGAGGACGTCATGTCAAGTATCATGAGATATGTATATCGTAAGCAAGTAATGAACAACCATTTCATTTAGAATGAAAGTGTTTACAATGTGTGTGCTCATAAAACATAGAAGTCATAAACAAATAACAAAACCAGACTTGAAGTTATAATGCTCCATGTTCTGAATCCCCAGCACGAGCACCTGTATAATAGTCTCCTTAGAATACAAGTTATTTGAAAGAGTTGATAAACAATTAAGCTGGTGAGTTCATAAGATTTTAGTGATGTGAGTAAGCTGCAAAATGTGGTTGAAAATATATATGCACAAGTGATGTAAGCTGTAAGTTCTGTTTTGAAAAGTTTGCATATTCCTCTAGAAAATCCTATATTTCCTACTTTAATGGAAGTTAAGTAAAATGACACTACAAGTCTTTCTATGCGTACAAAGTGGGTACAAGTTATATATACTTAGAGTAAATAAACAATTGATTGTGCGCATCTGCCCTAAACTCACAACCCAACGGGGAATAGCAAGTAAGGTGGATAGCACACATTCCATTGGTTATTAGATAGTTGTCATATATAACA